CCCCGCCACGCTCGTTGACGACCTCGCGGGGGCCAACCTGCGGTCGTCCACGCTGTTCTTCTCGACGGCCCCGCGTTACATCGTCGCCACGGAGGCGCGGTTGTCGACACTGTTCTTCCACCACACACTGTACCCCGCCGGGGGGGCGCGGCGGCCGTATCACGTGGTGGTGGTGCGCAGCGGCCGAGGGGTGCGCAACCAGTCTGGCGTGAGTGCTGCTGATGGTGGCGACGCGCGGCAGCTGCACAGAGACCCGGCGCGGCGGCCGTTCTTCTACGCGAAGCCCGTCGGTGTAGCGGCGGCAGCGCGTGGCCACAGCACCGGGGAGAGAGATGCGGAGGGAATGAAGGAGGGATCGTGGGGGAAGCACGGCTGTACCAGCAACGGCAGCAGTGTTTCTTCAGTGATGCGGCCTGCCGATGATGGTCTGTTGGCGCCGCTGTGTGGAGTCGTTGAAGGCCACTTCGCGGCACTTTTAAAGCGGACAGTGGAGGAAGATGGGAATCTGCACGGCACCACCACAGCGAGCAAAACGGCCTGCGAGGAACTGGCGACGTTGTTAAGCGGCAGTCATGGTGGTGTTGTGGATGTTGCGGCAGAAGAGGAAACGGGGCGAGGGCGGGGTTCCTCCAGAAGTGACCACACTGGTGGTGTTGTTGTGGACAGACTGCTGCGTGACGCGGCGGCATTTCCTTCCTCGTTCTTCTACGTCCATACACAACTGCCGTCGTCTGCAGTGTACCTGAAGCGGGTCGCCGCGGTCGCTGCCGATGTACAGGCGCTCTCGCCCCTGAATGAAGGCCGGCGACAGCATCAGCAACAACAGCACCAGGGCGGTGGGCAGGTACCTGTGGTGGCGCAGCTGGCTGGCGGTTTGGAGCCAGCCGTGCACTTTGCTGTGGGATCGCCATTGATTGTGCGCTGTGGCAAGAATGCAGAAGAATCTGTCAAGAACGGGGGCGTTTCTGCCGAGCTGCTGCCGTTTGGGCACATACAGTGTCTGCTGAGGGTCCGCACAAAAGGCAGTGGTTCGGGGGGTGTTGCAACGGCATCTGCGGCGTGTGTTCAGTCCTCGCAGCCGCAATACGAGTCTTGCTCCCACAATGCTCCATTGCGTGGCAACGATACCGGAGGTGATGGGAGCAAGCGGAGAAGCAGCAGCGGCGATTCAGATGGCGCTTCTGACGCTCGTCGCCCCCGTACTCCCAGTGGCATTGTGGAGCCATGGAAATTAGGCGTGAGTCTAGACCCCAAAGTGCCCTTCTACGTGCGGACCATGACAGAAAGACGGCCTGCTGCAACAGCAGCAGCTAGTCGTGTTCACACCGCCGAGAGTGGCGGTACACCGCCCACCCATCCCCGTTCTGGCCAACAACTGGGAAGGAGGGACTGTGAGACGTACCTCCTCCCACAGCGCGAGCTGCTCTTCGCTTTTCACGCACCTAAAGATGTGGTGGCGATGTGTGCTGCGCAGAATAAAGAGCGGATGCGGCGGCAGGCCGTGTTGGGGTACAGCAGTCCTACACACGCTTTTGCTGAGGGACCTCGCACAGCAAGGCGCCTGCTGGAGGGGGCGTATTGCAACAATACAGCAGCAGAAGAGGCGGCGGGGTCTGCAGTGGTGGGAAGAGAAGAGGGAAGGGGAAATGAAGGCGGCAATGATGATGCACAGCGGCGGAGTGATCCCATCGTGTATGAGGTTCGAGCACTCCCAGGCGATGTGGTGTACGTGCCACGGGGGTGGACGTACACGGTGGAGCGCATTATTGGCACAGCTGTTATGCACGCCGCCGCCACCTCCTCTCCCTCACTGGGCACGGTGTCGCAGGAGAGAAGGATGCACGATGACGTGCCGTATGGTGCGCTGAAGGCGGCCTTTTTGAACAATGGAACAGGCGCACGGAGGCCATTGGAGGCGGTAGGGTGCGAAGAACAGAGCGACAAAGTCATTACTTCCCCAGATGCTGCTGCTGCTGCTGCATCTACAAACGGAACAGGAGGAGGAGTGGCACAAAGCAAGGCCACAAATACAGCCGAGGTCACCGACGTTGAGGTGGATGCCTTTGTGTTGTGTTACAAGCCGTACCCGCTGCTATCTGAGCAGCAGGCTGCTGTATACATATCGGCCAACTACGTGCGCAGTGGCATCGAGGAATTTTACGCCAATGGAGGGAATAACGTGTTTCAGAGATACAAGTGAAGGGAAAGGAAACAAAAGAAAGGAAAAAAAACAGCCGTCATCACAGAGAAACCGCAGGTATTATGCACCGCCCAAAGAAACAACGGCAAAAACACGAGAGAGAACAAAAAAAAAAACAGTAGCATCTGTTTGCGTTTTGTGCTATTCATTGCTGGCGTGGTGCGGGTTGATTCCGGCTTCCTCTCCTTATCCTTCCATCTGAAATGGTGCAAACCAAAAACACACACCTAGGGTTAACCTGCCCACTCGCAACTTTTATGGGGAAGCAGGTAAAGCAGACATTGCATTATACGTCATGAGTTTTTCCACACGCGTGGAGAAGTTCGGCCCGGGAAAGCTGATCTGTGTGCACACGCCCGCCCTCCGCTGCGCCTTCGCGACGCTCGGCGCAGCAGTCAACTCCGTCAAGGTGCGCGACCCCCGCACTTCGCGCTGGGTGGAGGTAAACTGCGCGTACCGCAGCCACGAGGAGGCAGCCGCGGACACAGACTACATGGGACCCACCGTTGGCCGCTACGGTGGCCGCATCAGCGAGGGTAAATTCCTGCTGGACGGCGAGGTGCAACACGTCTCACGCAACATGAACAACCGCCACTTGATTCACGGTGGCGCGGACGCGTTCAACCACCGTCAGTGGTCATTCCTACTGGTGGAGACGGCAATTTCAGTTGGTGTGCGCTTCAGCCTCGTGTCACCGCACATGGACCAGGGATTCCCCGCGGAGCTCAGCAGCTACGTCTACTACTACGTGGAGCGGAAGAAGCCGAATGTCCTGCACACAGAGTACTCCGCGTACATCACAGAGGCCTCACCCGCCGACGCGACGGTGGTCAATATTTTCAACCACGCGTACTGGAACCTCAACGGGGTGCCGGAGGGCAACACCGCGAGCAACCCGCGCTGGACACAGCCGGAAAAGATCCTCGACATCACCCTCAAGGTCCCGAGCAGCCGTGTGGCTGACACAGACTCCTCGGCGATCCCGACAGGGGCGATGAAAGACGTGACTGGCACGTGCCTTGACTTTCGCCGCGGCAAGCCGCTCGGCGATGACATCAACAATGCGGCCACGCTGCGCCGGGACCCGTGCGGCTACGACCATCCATTGGCGATCGACGGGTGGGACGAAAAGAAGAAGAGCCGCCTGCTTCTGAACGCAGAGGCGTACAGCCCCAAGACGAGGATTCAGATGAAGGTTTATTCGACGTTCCCGAGCGTGTGGGTGTACACGGCGAACAACAAGCCGTCGCACGTGAGTGGGGCGAAGGGACAGCGGTATGGGCGTCACACGGCGGTGTGCTTGGAGCCGCAGCACCTGCCGGATAGCCCGAATCAGCCGTCGTTCCCGTCTGTGGTGCTTCGCAAAGGGCAGATGTACCACGAAAGGATTGTGAATGAGTTTAACGTGTTGAGCGACGCGCATATGTAGCGGGCGCCTCGTCAGTCACGCCATCCTCCGCATTTTTAAAAGTGCAAAATGCCACATTTGGGGGAAGGGGTGGCTCTGGGTATGCCGGAGGAAGGATGCGCAAATAAGCAGTGACGTATTTTTGTAGCCAGAGCGATCAAAGGAAAAGTTTTGAATTGCCAGAGCGCAAAATTGGGGATGTCAAAAAAGTGGGTTTGAGGTGGTGCAATAACAACCAACAACAACAAAAAAAAGCAAAGAACGAAAGACGAAAATTTTGTTTTCAACACGTCTTTTCATACTAGAGGAGTCTCTATTGGGGTACTGCATTATTGTGANTTTTTTTTTTTTGCTTGTTTGTTTTCTGTGCTGTGCGGTGGAGGAGTCTTTTCGGTCTCTCTCTCTCTGTCTGTCTGTGTGTGTGCGTGGGAGTGGGGGTGCCACACCGGTGCGTCCGTGCCGCAGTCCTGTGCCTGTTGCGTCCCCCGCCTTTTGTTGTTCTTCGTTGTCGCATTTAGGAGCACATAGGTGTGGTAGTTTGGGAGACTTCAAGGGAGGAAGCGTCAGCGCGACAGGGAAATAAGGGAAGGAAAAAGGCACAGATTGCCTTTTTTGCTTGTTTGTTTGTTTCTCTTTCGTGGTTTCGGTTGCGGTGCGCAGAGGTGTGCTGTGGACCTGCAATAACAGGAGCGTTTGACTAGGGGAGAGGGAAAAGGACACATTGCATATATTTTTGCTTCGGTCTTGCAGGACAGGGAGGTGTGACGCGTGTGTAGGGCAACGAAGAACAGAAGAAAAGGAGTGACAAGCAAAAAGAACGAATACGGCCTTTTGTTTTACTCGGATTATTTTTTAAACTATGCTGCGTGTGTGCGAGAATGTTCAAGAGGCGATGGCGCATAGCAGGCGATGGCAGATACCGCTCCTCGTCTTGGTGCACAGCAGCGATGCGCCGAGTGGGAGCCACACCGGCGGTGACGACATCCCCGGACTGCACAACACAAACAGCAGCGGGAAGAGGACTGTCAACGCGATGTTTCAGCTGGGCGGGGGGGAGCTCTCGCACGACGGCGCGGCACAGCGGCAGGCGTTGGAGGCGGTGCTGCACGAGTCCCGTCTGGCTGCGGTGACGGTGGTGCACTTCATGGAAGCCGGTTCGGCGGCGCACAATCTCTTCACCACCGCCGTGCCGGAGTCCAGCCAGGTGGTCCCACGGCTCCATGTGTTTCCGTCATCTCTGCGGAAGCTTCCACGGGCAGTGCTGCATGGTGCCGCGCTCACGCCAGGAGGAATATACGAGACGACTCGGCTGGCGCTGCAGATGCCTCCGCTTAGCAAAGTCACGGAATCGATAGGAGAATTTGTGCAGCAGGTGGAGGAGATGAATGCTGCAGTACGACAGACATCGACGTCGGGCCCCTCCGTCTTTTTCACACCCCGGCACGCGGCACCCACACCAGGACGAGGTGTCGCGGGAAGCGAGGCGACGACGCGCACTGCAGGTGGCGTCTCTACTGCTGCTGCTGCTGCTGTTGCCAATACTGGTGGTGGAGGTGCACCTTGCGGGCTTCATTTTATTGCAATCAATGGTCTTGCAAAGAAAGAGGTTGTCGTCACCTCGCCCGGCATGACGCTGCGTACCGTGTGGCAAAAGGTGCAACAGGCCCTCCAGCGGGAGCGGGAGACGGCGAAACTGGGGAGCCGCCCGTATGATGGCACGATGTTTGTGCTGCGCGTCGAGCCGCCGCCCGCAACATGTGTGGAAGGTGATGGTGCGGGCAGCACACCAGTGGTGGTCAAGTCCTTGGAGGAGGCCGCCAAGATTAATATTCATGTTCTGCCTCACAACACGGTTGTCACAGTAATAAAGGATGACAACGTGGTAGGAACGTCACAGCGTGGTGACAACAGTAGCTGCTGGAGCGGGAAGCAAGCGGACGCCACTGAAGTGGGTGACCAAAACGAGAGAGGAAGGGCCCCGGCGGGGCTGCGCTGTGAAGGTGGAACTTGCAGGCTCCGCTCCCCACATTCAAAAAGCGAAATGTCGCCTGCGACAGGCACAAAGCAGCAGCCACAGCAACAACAACAAAAACAAGAACAACAACAAGGCGTCCCGTCATCTGCCGCAGCTGTGGTCCAAAAAAAAGAAGAAACGAAGGCGCCGCCAAGTGCTGGCGTAACTGCACGCATAAATTTGCGTTGCTCGCTTCCGGACGGCAGCACGCACACTGTGGACGACCTCGACCCCGCCGTTGCGACCTTGTCCACACACGTGCGCGGCCAAATCGCGGCGTTGGTTGGCCATGACGTCTTCGTGTTTGCGCGCGCGTACCCACCACGCCGATTCACCTCTGAGGAAGAGACATCCACGCTCGAGTCAGTCGGTCTGCGTACATCGTCGGCTCTACGAGTAGTGCCCACCGCGGGGCACTCGTCCGCCGCCACCAATGTGGCGCCGCACCATGTGGATGCCACGGCTGGTGGGCTGTTGGGGTTGGTTTCCTCCATGCTGCGGCGCAGCACTGGGTCCGCTGCCGCTGCTGTTTCTGCTTTGGTACCGCCATCCTCAACGGGGGTCGTGCGTGGGGGCGGGGGACGACCGGCGCATAGCAGTCGGTTTCGCACCATGGCAGAGATACGCGCAGAAGAGGAGGAGGAGGAGAACCGGCGCGCCGCCATGGCGGACGCAAAGCAGGACNTCGGTTTCGCACCATGGCAGAGATACGCGCAGAAGAGGAGGAGGAGGAGAACCGGCGCGCCGCCATGGCGGACGCAAAGCAGGACTCAGCCGATGGGCCACGCCGGAAAAAGGCAAATCGGTACTACGGCGGTGACTCCACCGAGTACACGGACAGGGCGGGAAGCGACAGTGAGGAGGACGACGGTGCCAGAGACAACAAAGCCTCCAATCACGCCAAGAAGAATACTTAAAGTGTGTATATACAAATTGAGATGTGAACGTGTGCTTCGGATGCGTAAGATGGTTAAAAACAAAAAACCACCCTTTGGGTAGGCCTTCCCGCACGGAGCAAGTAGTGCTTCGTGTACCTTTTGATTGTGGACAGACGAGAACGGAGTTTTAGTTTTGTTTCGACTTGTCTTTTTTTGTTTTCCTTTGGTTGTTGTTGTTGTTGTTGTTATTACTGTTCTATGCATGCATTAAGTGTCTGTGTGTGTGTGTGTGTGTCTCTGTTCGTCTGTCCGTCCGTTTGTGTGTTTGTGTGTGTGTGTGTGTGTTTGCTTCAGTGCCGAGATGTACATGTGAAATAAAGGGCAAAAGAGAAAGGAAGTTGAAGCTGACCCAGCAGAAGGACAAAAAAAAAAAAGAAAATAAACAGAACAAAGAGACATTCAGTCTGCACTCTACGGAGGAAACCAAAAAAAAAAATACTGCAGCATGCTAAGGTGCCGCATTTCACACGCTCCGTCTGCATTTTACACTCGCGCCCTTTTGCCTGCTCGCGTCCAGCGCCACACAAACGTCTTGGCCTTCGCGCTACTTCGGCTACTTCTGCTTTCTTGACTTTGTACGCTTTTAAGCAACACTTTGGGTTGAAGAACGCTGGGGGAAGTGAATCTGCCCTGAAACGTAACATTACTTTCAGTTCAGGGCAAAGCGCACCAATAAAAAAAGGGGGGAAAGAAGGAGGGCGGCAAGAGTTACCGTAAAAGTAGCGTGCAATATGGTTTCCAATGACAACAGCATAGAGATGCTGATAGGCAACCGGTTCCGACTCGGCCAGAAGATTGGCTCCGGCTCGTTTGGTGAGATCTTCCGTGGCACGAACATACAGAACAACAGTCCCGTGGCCATCAAGCTGGAGCCTGTGAAGACGCGTCACCCGCAGCTGGCTTTCGAGGCCCGTTTTTACCGCATCCTCAATGCCGGTGGC